GAATTCCTTTAGGGAAGTAATACAGTCAGTGAACGCCACCAAGTACAAAGACATGTGCACCATGGTGGGGGATGTGAATTGAGTCTTTTGGGTACATAAAACTCTTGGCCAAAACTCGGGTAGTTTTGAACTGTTGCTACTAATTCCTATGGGACTCACTCAAGTTTACTCATTGGAAAGCTGGCCTAAAAACAGATTTTGTTTTCTAACATTCCTGATCCCATACTTTTGTCCCTCTCTGGCAAAAATGTTTCTGAAACAGCAAAAACAGTCAATTTCTAATCATGAGCAACAGTAAAGATTTAAAACTAAATACTGAAGAAGGAATAGTGACAGACTTTTCCTTCTATCTCTTCTGTGCTTAATATGTAAAAAAAACAAAAAAAGTACTACTCTAAAAATACAGAAGGCACAGAACACATCACAGATAATGGAGAGCTAAATGAATTACTTTCTTGTTCACTATTACACTCTTGTATCATGTACCAGGCTCCATAATTTCAGCAGGATGAAAGAACTGAAAGGGAGTCAGAGAAGATAAACTAAATAATTCAAGGGCTTAGAGAAAAGATCTAGGAGGGAAGGGATGCAGATTATTCATGAAGAGGGGGTGGTAAAGGGAAAACAATGCTACTACAGCAAAAAGCATGAAGGCTGGGGATTCAGGCAATCTAGCACGTGCAAGCCAAGCACCCTCTCAGATAAGCTCTTTGACCCACTTGTGCTTCAGCTCCCTCATCTGCAAAGTGACAGAGTTGATCTGGTTCATCTCTGGTGATCTGGTGTTTGGATGCTGCCTCTGGTATCTCTACTGCCCCAAATGGGAAATAAGTTTAACTGTCACACCAGCCACCAATGTTAGACACATTGCAGTACTTTTTGTGAGAGTTAAGACAGCAAGTAAGGATCCAGATGGCCTCAGTCAGTCATCTGTGACACGAGATAGGAAAAAGATCCTGAGCATCGAAGAGCAAAGGCTATAGTGTGAAAGTATTAAAAATGTCAGAAAATAAAGATAAACACCTCCGCCAGCGACACTAAACTTAAAGCAAAGACTGGTATAGAGCAATGTGAAGCTTTGCCACTGGGCTCACTCTAATATGGAGACACTGGTGGGACAACCACAGTTCCTCTGCCGCAAAGTTTACGATGACCCTGCACACATTAGCGAACAGAGAGGTAGACAATTTTCTTGCCAATTTACAAATTTCAACACTGAGTCGATCTTTCTTCCCTACGTGGCTGAACAAAAACAAGCGCTGGTAACTTTCGTAGAAAGGCTGCTGGAGTGTGGTTTGGGGCTCGGTCCCTTCCTGTTCCGCCCCACCTTCCGCGACCCCAGCTCCGGCCAGCCCCCACCCGCGGACGCCCAGGCCGCCAAGTTTCCCCACAGCCTCCCGCCCCTTGAAGCCCGCCCTCTCAACAGCTGGAGGCCAGGATTCCGAAAGCAGAAGGGGTTCCACTTCTCGGCAGCTCAGAAAGCACAGGACGGAGGCGCGGCCGGGGCCAGCTCAGCCCCGCAGCTGCCGTCCCACTTCTCCCAGCCCCGGCGGCGCGAGCTCGAGGGGCTCGGCAGGCGCCCCTGGCGCTCAGCACGGCGGGGTCCCCTCCTCACCTCCATCCTTCCCGGTCCCGGCCTTACTCACCAGCTTCTCCCCACTTCACGGCCGAGAAGCTGCCGCCCGCCCGGGCTCTGGAGCAAGTCCAGCCCGCGCCTCCCCGCCCGTGACGCCCGGCCCTACCGGCTTCCTGCCCAGCGGTGTCGGGCGGCAACGTGGCCTTCCCCCGGCGGGCCGAGGGGGGGCGGAGCGGCCAGCCATCCCGCCCAGGCCCGCAGCCTCTCCGCCCCGCCTCCAGACTTCGCAGTCAAGTTGTCCCAGCCCCAACTTCAGAGGCTGCACTAGCTGCAGCTGGAACTCCCCCCCCCCCACGCCCGTCGGACCTCAGCACACCGTCAGCGCCTGGACGCTCTGTTCCCCAGCCCAGAGGTCTGGGGCTCACCGGCGTTTGGGGAAGGCAGGTAGTGGGGGTGAAGTAGGGTTCTAATGTAGGGTAAACCAACAAACCTATAGGGGAGCCTCCTCTTATCCCCTACCCGAAGGGAAGCTTCGGATTCTGAGCTAGAAAACAAGGGGACGAGGTGCACAGGGATGTAAGAACTGGCACCAAGGCGCCAAAGGAAGTGGGGAGGAAACACTTGCTGCCAAAGGCTGACTAGAGCCTGGTACTGTTTTGGGGTTATTTTTCGTTTTAGTTTGTGTGTGTGTGGTTTTTCCTGTTTTTTTTTTTCTTTTGCAAGTGCATTGCTAGTTCTGACTGAGAACAGAAAGGCCCACCAGTGAGGCATAAGACCACCTAAGAAGAAAGGAATCAATCACAGGATTCTGGGTAGCCCTGTATATGCCTGGATGCTTATACTCTTTAGTATTTTAGAAGGTATGGCAAGAAACCAAGAAGAATGGAGGGCAGATTCAGGACCCAGGCTGACCTGTGATCTGAGCCACAGAAAGAGGACAGAAGGAAAGACAATACTAGAGGCTCCAGCACCTGTCTGGGAGGTCAACAGTGACTCCAGAGCACAGGGAATTTCTCTGAGGTCCGAGCCCTGAGTACCAGGGTGGCCCATTCTGTACGACTCAGGTACCATGAGGAGCCATTCTGGAACTCACAATGGTGTGTGGGGGCCCTACTGCCCACTCACTTCTATACCACTGGCCCTGTCCCCAGAGCAGGACTGCTGCTTTATGATCAGGACATACTCTATTAACATCAGATCATGTCCAACCTATAGAATTCCCCAAGGTGTGAAAAGCACAATAAGCCCCAAACTCTGTTGCCTGCTCCTGAGTGACTGCTCACTAACTTTCTACATGTAACCAGGAATTGTGTAAGGCTCTAATCTTAAAGCACTGCATGAGGTGAGGAGCTAAACTAAAATCAAGTGGAGGGCTAGCAAGGACTCTGACAGAGAAGACAAAGTCTGGCTCACTCTAAAGACAGAGTCTGTAGTTTCTCTCCCAGAAACTTTACAGCAGAGCTGAAATGGTCTTCGTCAGGTTTAATGCTGTAGAAGCAGCTCAGCACTCTACAGGTGATTTTTAGGCAACCCTTCTCACTCAATCTTCCTCACAAGAAACTGGTGGGGAAAAACTGACAACAGACTGGATGCTTCATATTATATAAGCACTATACAAACACAATAGTCTTCACTTGCACGTTGAAGAGACTTTCAGGAGAGTGGAACCTCTTTGGTAGGATGAGGAAAATCCTCCACACAATGTAGAAGGCCAGACATGACTGAGGAAGCATCTTGGAACAGCACAGCCCTGAGGGATCTTGTTTCTTAGACCACTCGGCCATGCTACCCGCCCGTGGGATCTTGTTTCTAAGCAAAGACCAGAACCAAAACTTTGCAAGGTGAAAAGAGACTCACACCTTCACTAGTAGCAGCAGCCTGTCCTCAGAAGAGCTGCCCTTGGGATCAGACTAGAGGAGAAAGAAAAGCTCAGGGTCAGTGATTCTACCCAGGGCTTCTGAGAAGGCAGTGACCCCTATGGAGAAAAAAACAAAATCAACTAAAAAGTAAGGCATAAATAGGATTTTCAGGTACTGTCACCAGGCCCCAGGGAATGTGAGGGCCAGCTGTTACTCTGCTAGCCAGAGGTAAAGAAATGTTGGAACTCAAAATTACCAACCCACCCAGACAACAGTACCATGCTGTCCCTCAAAACTCCTAATACTGGGCATCACCTTTCCTTTTTGCTGTTTGCTTCACTAAGAAATTCACGTGTGTTGGCATAGGCAACTGAGCTCACAGGAGGCAGTGGCAGGTAGAAGATAACTACGAACAGGTCTATTTTACTTTGCAGCATAGCCTACAAAAATATGAATGGCTAAGAAATGTCAGTCTAAAAACATCTGTCATCGTAAAGAGTCAAAGACTATGATATGGCACAGCAAGGAAAGGCACAGTGCTCACCTGAAGAAACCAAGCTCTACCTATTAATTACATGCTTGGCCCTCGGGACTTCAACTTCTTTCCATTTCTCTTTAATCTGCTACACCAAAAAGCACACTGTCAAACTGAATGGAGAGCTTTGGGGCCAATGCAGCTAAATTCTCCTTAAACCATTTACCTTTGTAGAACAGGATGATCCCAGGTATTAGCAGCAACAAAATGAGACAAATTCAGAGCAGGCTTTAAATTAAGGACATCTAAGCCTTTTGTCAGCACACTAATTCAATACAGAAGAACAGAAATCCTCACGTAGACCTTTTCTTTGTGTAACAAACAGGTATAGCATTTATGCCAATGTTACTGTTTTAAATGCACATTGTCCTGGGCACTCCTGAAACACTAGTGATCAACATTTTGCAAGCAAAGAGAACATGGCAGATGTTAATCAACATATCTAGGTCTGCACATGGACCAAGAAAGTCAGAGCTGGAACACAAATCTTAGTCCCAAACTTGGGTTCTTTCCATGAGGTTTCATGGCCTAACCTCTCTTAAAGGTAAAGAGGCGACAGTTTAGATAATCTAGAATATTTCCCAGACCCAACACTGTCCCCACTATCAGATTCAGTGAGCTCCCCAAGGGAACAGCCTAACTTGCCCTAGGTAATCCTTTTCAGAGTCTTGGCCCAAACTGAGTTGAAATCCTATTATCTCACTAATGGAAAGGGTTTTAAGAGTAATTTAAACCAACATCCCTTTACATACCTGAATTCTTTTCATGTTCTCCTTGGCCTAACCTCACTAAGCTAACCTCAAAATCCCAATTATTCACAGTCCTCTACTAGGTATCTTTCTGGCCTCAGGAAGGAAAGGAAAGGAACAAATTTGTATCCAAATAGACTGAAAGAGAGGGGAAACTTCCTGTGTACCATTAGGAAAAGCATTCTCGTCTGAAGTTGGCTTCCTTTGTGAATGGCGGTGTCCCTAGAGATCCCCATGCAACATTTTCTGCACAAAAGCAAGGCACTAAGAGACAACCTTACCTTTCTCCTCTCAGTTGCTCCCCAGAACATCAAACCCCCATTCAGCCTTCCAATTCCAAAACAGAATCCAAGTCAAATCCAACAAAAAATGTAGTTTCTTTTACCCCGGTCCAAAGTCCATGGCTGAGCGGACTGTGAGGGGGAGGAGTCTGGGGGGAAGGGGTGTGTCCAGGCCCCTCCCCCCCTGAAGATTCCAAAGTCTTCCCCAGGAAGATGTTACATTGCTTCATTCAGTTGATTTATTAAATTCAAAGTCTACTGATAGACCCCAGGTACTAGCCCATCTGTTAGTCAGGCAAGGGTGGTCATCCACTATGAGGACTGGTCCATCTGTCTTCTGCTGGGGCTCAAGTGAAGAAACAGACCTTAAAACCAGCATGGCCTAGGAGGCTGATTTCTTTATTAACCTGTAGAACAACAAATATGACACTATAATCTAGGCTATACCCGAATGGATTAAGACTTTCTAGTTTCCCCTTCATATCTAAAGTACAATTCGTTACTGTGCTGTATTACCAAAAAAAAAACAAAAAACAAACAACAAAAAAAAACCCCTCATCCTTAAATACTCCTAAGTTTACACAACGTACGTATTCATTCACATACTGTTCCACAAAACACTTACCAGTATGCATGGGCACATGCCTGTAGCTCAGTCTAACAGTTTTAGCTACTCTCAGTACAGAAAAGTAACCAAAAAGATGGTGTGCAGGCTGTATTCTAAGAAATATAGAAAAACACACTGCCCTCTCATCTGAAGCGCTAATCAAATCTCTCACGCTTCTTAGGGTATTCAGTACCTTAGTCCACCACCTCTCTTCAACTGAACTAAATCCTTTCCAGACCAGATGCTGGCCTCCTCCATATGCATTGCTTGCTCCCTTTTCTCCAATCTTTACCTTCCCTTCCGCTTCCAAAACTGCATCTGGGATTAATTCCCAATGCCTATCCAACTCCTTCATAGGGCCACTCCCGAGAGCACTCTTCTGGAAGCTCCAGGGCCTGAGTCCTACCTGCAGTGGCCCAGTGTTCTAAGGTCTCCCCTCCGAGCCCACCTCTGTGGCCCCTAAGTTTATTCACACACACACACACACACACACACACTCTCTCTCCCTTCCCTCCTGTAGGGGCGTGGCGTCCTCATAACCCCCTTCCCCACCAAGGATTTAACTCCTCCCACCCTTTTCCCCGGAACCCCGCGTTCCTAAGTTCACACTGCAGGGGTGATACTGCGCCCCTCCTCGGGTTCCGAGCCCCAGCCCTCTGCCGCCCTAACGACCCTCTCCTTCAGCTCGCGGCTTCCTCACCTGGACCCTTCCCAACGCTGAGGGCCGGAAGCCCCTGCCCGCCCGGTCCAAGCCCCGACCCCGCCGACTCCCCACCGCTGGCCCAGGCCCCACCCCCTCGGTCCCCGGCAGCCCGGCCCTCCTGCCCCCGCCCGCCCTCCGCGGCAGCCACTTCCGCCCATCCTCCGGAAGTGGGTCCCGGGCTGCCATGGCCTCCCACATCCGGCCTCTTCCACCCCGCACCCCAGCCCGTCACCGCCGCCACCGCGGGAGCTCCCCGCGAGGCAGTCTTCAACACTGGAGACTCTACACTGGTCACACGATTGAAGACGAACTGTGGGCCAATGGTGATGTGGGTGAGAAACGGCGCTGAGGGCTGGGTACGAGAGGGGGCGGGACCGAGGCGAGGGCCCTGAGGGAAGCGTGCGTTCTCTGCGCCGCGCGGTGAGAAAGGCGCATGCGTGGAGGGCCAGGGCCCGTGGCCTGCCGGCCCGCGGACTCCTAGCCTAGCGGGACTAGGAGGGGGCGGGCCGACCGACCAGCGCGGAAGTGGGGGCGGAGCCTGTGCGGCCGCCTCGCCGGGCTCTAGGTCGAGGTCGCCTAGCAACGGCTCGCGGACCGGGCTTGGGAAGCTCCGGGGCGCCAGCTACGTAAGCTCCGGCAACAGCCGTGCGGAGAGCTCTTAGCAGACAGTCGCTTTACTTGATCACATTTTCCGAGTCCCTACGTAAGGCAGGACTTTCCTCTGCTAAGAAGAGAGAAAAGGACAGGAGTATTAATGAAAACTGCCCCCGCCCCAGCTCTTAGCTGTACCTGCTCTGCGCTGGTAATTGACAATCCACAATTCGGAACCCCAGAATCCATCCCCATGACGGGTGATGTTGGCCAAGTAGAGGTAGAGTTTGAAGGACGCAGTCTTTTCTCGGATCATGTCTTTACTGCACGAAGTACCGCCACGGTCATGTACCTCGGATCTCCTTACAAGAAACTTTTCTCCTTCAAACACAGAGCTTCTGTTACATCTTGTGTCTGGATGTCCCCCGAAAACCTCTTGCAGTCATAGGTGGAGCTTTTCAGAGCTGGCTGGTTAGAGGGTGTGTGATGCTGGGATTAAGGGTACCCCACCCTGAGTGTGGGTGCCTCCCAAAGGGCAAGTATCCGGGATGAAATGCAAAGCCAGGCGGCTGCTGCAGCTGCTGCTTCCCAACTTCTGCTTTCTGCCTGCTGTGCTGTGTCATGAACTGTCAAAATAAGCCTTTTCCTTTAACTTTAGGTGTTTGGTATTTTGTCTCAGCAGTGAGAAAAGTAAGACATACCAAGTACCTCAATTACGAGGTTTTTGGTGGGTTTTTTTTGTTTTTTGTTTTCTTGACTTGAAGTTGGATGTAAAAAGCTGCTACAAATTTTTGGCATTCATGTACTATCTTATGTGCTGGAATCTTGCCAAAATTGTGGAATGTACGGTTTTCCCCCATCTTGGAAACTGGAACCTAGACAATAGTCTTCTGCGCCCCCCCCCCTTAGGAATTAAACCCAGGGCCTCCACAGTGAGTTATGTCCCACCCCTTTATTTATTTGTTTGTTTGTTTGTTTTAAGTTTATGTATTTGGTACAGGGTCAGCTCAGACTGGTAGTGCTCCTGTTTCAGCCTCCTAAAGTGCTGGGCTTACAGGTGTATCACCATGCCCAGTCTTGGTGACTGGCTCCCCATGTCTAGGACCTGTAGGATCTGCAGTACCAGGGATCATACCTGGGTCTTTGCACTTGCCTAGACAGG